AATTCGAAATGGCAAGGGGATCACTTTTTTTACGAATTAGACGGGAATTCGATTTATCGAGATTTTTTCAAGGGATTTTTTTTCAAGGGAACAGAATTTTTTACGAATTATCGCGATTTTCGATTTAGCGGGGTACGAATTATCGGGATTTGACTGTATATGCTTTTTTTAAGTCTGTCTCTCTTTTCAATCCGTAACAAAAATGGAAGCTGGTTTCGGCAAACCGAAGCTTATATACCCTTGCAGTAATCAAAGATATCGAACAAAATACGTAGAGGCTGAACAACATCGAAGCTATGTCGATTTTTCTATGAAGTTTCTGGTTTTTCGACGATTGTTCATATGAAAGCTATATAAAAAGTCGTCATAGCTTCGATGTTGTTAGCATTTATGTATTTTGTTCAACATGTTTGATGACTGCAAGGGTATATAAGCTTCGGCTTGCCGAAGCTAGCTTCCTTTCTTGTTTAAACTGTTTTATTTAGCTCACCCCATTTGTTTCTTGGGTCAAAATTAGAAATTGAAATTTAAGTACCTTCCTGTTGTCAGATTGATCTGAAATCTGGTACACACCTTCAGTTCTGATGACAATACAATATAGTAATATCAATAACATTTTAAATCCAAGATGGCGGCCGCAAAATGGCGGATAACGTAGGTTTTATCAATCCCATCAATATGGGTATCAAATGAAAGTGCTCAACCAGTAGAATAAAATGTACTATATAAAATTAAAATCCAAGATGGCGGCCTCTACAAAATGGCGGATAACTTAGGTTTTATCAATCCCGGATTATTTTAATCAACGATTGTAGACAATTGACGTGCCCCACGGTTTTATTTTAGTCTAGTCTATGCATATGTTTATTATAAGTAAACAAAATAGATAGTTTTTAGTACATTTATCTTAAACATTGCAATGTATATTTTACATTAAACGGTTTAACTTAAAAAGTTTTTTTACCAATTTTTTTTTAATCTTATAGGAGCACTGTAACATACGATAAAATTGAAACTTAATTTTTATCGGAACTATAGGGTTTTCAGTTATAATATTTCACAGAATCTTGAGACATTAAGTGCCTAAAAATTTTGCATTAAAATCTCAATTTCAAAAAAAAAGCGACATACGATACTTTCGCGGAAATGCGTCGAATCGTCGAATAACTGTTTCCTCGGCTTACCATAGTTGATTAATATTGATCATATTAAATATCCGTTCTGTACTTTTTAATCATTGTTTCCCAGAAAATGGTTGTTGAAGTCTAGTTATATGTACTTACTCCTTTGCCAGAAGCCTGTTCACATAAAATGAAAAAGTAAACAACATCATTAAAAAAAGCACCTCCGCTGGGCGGGGAGGTAGAGGTCTTCCCGGCAGATGTTGCCACTTCATTCAACTTAAGGCCGGACCCCTCGACTGCCGTCACTGTTACCACAAAAACGTCTTTTGCCTTTCGCCTCAATTTTCAAATTTTAATCGCATTTCTTGGTCGTGGCTGAGTCCTTTTCACTTGCCGGTCTTTCAGCTTCGGCACTTGTGTGTGTGTGTGTGTGTGTGTGGTGGGGGGAAAGGGACGGCGTCGCAGGGAAAGGGTTTTTCCGTTTCTGTCCTGTGTTTCGTCCTTTGGACGGCACGTCAGTTACTCATTTGTTTTTGTCTTCGCCGTTTGCTGCGTAGCCCTCGAAATGAAAATGGAAATTGGTTTTCTCTCGGTTACTTACTGTCCTTTCCAGAAGCAGCGCCACAACCGCCAGCAACAACAACTACTACATTCATTTAAAATGTAAATAAAGTGACAAATTACCTGAATTAGTGACACAACGTTCAGCGAATCGTTCTACCTTCCCTCCGCGCTTTTTGCCTTTGACTTATTTGCTTTTGTTTTTATTTTGCGCCACCCAATTTAGCTGTTGACTTTGGTTAGGTGACTGCTTATGGTAATTTAATTAAAGCCGTAAAAGAGCTAATCAAAACTGAGAGGTCCTCAGCAAAGTAAGAGGATCATTTATTTTAAAAGCGATTAGATTTAAATTTAGAATATGATGTCTTGATCAACATAATATGTTCTAAACAACCATATGCCCTAAAGAAATATAATGTACATAAGGTGCACTCGAGTCGCTTCTTCTCAACCTCATTTCTAAAAATAAAGTTGCGAAACTTCCCAGCCATCTATTGAATTTAATTATTGCCCAAGAAAAACCAACGGTGTCAGGTTAAGGGAGGGAAAGCTACGTATATGTATACCCTTCCAAGTTGCGCTCGGGAAAGCTTAAGTCCTTCGCACAGCTGTCGTGCAAATATTTAATTTACGAAATTCCATAATAAAATTTTGCCTCGGCCCGGCATCCTTCTGTTCTTTCGGTGGCTCCTTCAAGGCAGCTGGGCCTTCACTTCGCATGCCAATTGTTTGGCAAGTGTCAAAATAATAACAGCCACCCCGGCGAGCCTTCGCACAGTAGCAACCTCGGAGCCGAGGCGTGGTGCACACAAATGCCAAGTGTCAAAATATTTCCGAAATTTTTTTATGTTAATTTTGAATTAATAAAATAAATATTAAATCAGTGTGGCGCTGAATGGCTCTGAATGGCGCTGAGGGTGACAAATGACAAATGGCAGGGGCAGTCAAGCAGACGACTGTATTAGAGACCAAAACCACTAATTTATCCCAGAGGGGAGGGGGAGGAGGTCCTGGCAGCTGTTGCCCTTATCCGAGCTCGTCGAACCCACCACCGTGCTGGGGTCGGCTTTGATTGGAGCCTTGCCGCCTTCTCGGTCGTCCTTAAATTAAAGATTCCTGAGCCAATTTCGTTATTGTATTTTTCAATTTAACACTCTCGGCTCGTTGATTTTTATGGGATCTGCCGGATTTTCTTTTGTAATTGTTCTTGCAACTCTTTCCTTGCGGGAACCTTTTCGGCGTCATCAGAAGCAGCCGCGACTGCTCATTACTGAAACTTTATGTTTAGATGCTAATGGCACGAGATGTTATTCTCCCCTTAATTGGAAGTTGAATTTAAAGATTGTGACTAGAAGAGCGCATTATTACTGTAAATCGCTCCTGGTTTCGACTGAGTTTGCCGTGAATGTAATAAGGTAGTTGCAGACATGCTCGATTGGTGTTCGTTAACTTTCATATATATTCACATATTTAGCTATCTACCAAATTCGCCCACAGTGTTCAACTCTACGTAGTTTGGTAAACAACCAAAGACAAATCAAAAGTCCATAGTAAGCTTTGAAGGGAATTTCAAACTGATAAAAACAATAAGGCGAGCATATCCACGTAGAACAGGTCAGTCGTAGTTCTCATCTAGAGCTCTCGGGTCGGGCCGATAAACTGGATATCTAAGTGAAAATTCTCAATCAAAATTCACAGTTGGCACATAAAATCCCGAGTTTCTTTATCCGTGAAGTTTAGGTGAGTGTGAACACAATCTTGTCCTTCTGTGACGGGGTAACCCCTTCTACAGCATCTGCAAAGGGGAACCATGTGTGGCTTTGGTTGCGGACCCTATGGCTACGGGCCTTCTGGGCCCTGCGGACCCTGGTGCGGACCTTGGTGCGGTCCTTGCGCCTTATCCCTGGGACCCTGCAGCTACTCCTGCTGCGGAGGACCCAAGGGCTGTGGACCGTGCGGACCCGCCTGTTGGCCTTACGGCCTGTACACCTGCTGAGCTTCAGAAGGATTTCAGGAACGCGTTGGTCTGTCCCCCGAGAAACGTACTGCAGGTAAGATGCTTTTTCCCTGGGGGCTGTACAAATTGAAATTTCCCTGAGAACCTAAACAAAGTAACGAGCGCTGGCAATAAAAATTTCACCGACATTTGAAGGACGCGGGGGGCATGGGTGCCGCAATTCAATAAATCTTGGCGCGAGGTAGGGGTGGCGATGCCGTTCGATTGTACAGAGAACTGTAATTTGAATTCTTTAGCTGGAAAGTAGAGTCGCGGCCGTTGGTAAAGGGTAGAGCGGATTTTGTTTTAGGGAGTCCTGGAATAGATTGTGCCGCCAAACGGACGGCAAAGAAAGAGGGAGTGAGTTGCCTTTATTACAAAATTGTTCGTGCTTTTGACTGTGTTTATTGGAACTGATGCTTGGCCGCCGACAGTGCCAGCCTCGCCTTTCAATTTCGAAACCCCATGTAGCTAGCGAGCGTAGGCGTCACACGAAACTTAAATGTGCACAGCTTGTATGGAAACTAATACTAAATCTTTCTTTTTAGGTCGGTCTATGACAAAACCTTAGATGGACTACAGCAAAAAATAACATGGTTGTTGTACTCATTAAAATTGGCGCATTCAAAATACCGTATAAATGTGTTTTATTACTTGGGATAATTTGGCATAACCGTGAACCTTATCCAACCTGTGGTCTTCAAAAGGCATCGGGTAGGTATTCCCGGTATTAAAAATGTCTCACTTTATAGTGGTTCTCGGTCTTCCCTGAGTAGACCGGGGATTTGGGAAAATGGGCGTGGCAAATTTTTGAAGCGTAGCTTTTTATATGTTTCAAGAACAATGGTTAACATCAGTGATTAAGATCAGAGATAATTAAAATTTTAAGTTGTTAATAGGAAACCATTTCATATGCACAGAGTTTCTGTGCCTTTGGTAAGTCACAAGACTCCAACTCTAAAGTTCCCAAAATCTAAGCGTTAAAACAAACAGAAAAGTTGGCACGCCCTAAGGCTGGTGGGCGTAAAAGTTGACCTGAAGAACGTCGTTCACTGTTTATTTTAATTTATTTTATTATCCAAATTATTGTAACTTCAAAACCGTGGGCTTAATAAGGGACGCTGTGCAGAAATGAATGATTATTCATTTCACTAAACTCCAATCTAAATTTTCAATTCCAGCGTTCTCGACGTTCAGACAGACATGTCTGAATCGACCCGACGTATGTTCCTGATCAAGAATACTCTATATGATTCTTTAAAGGGTCGCAAGTGCTGCCATCGATCTGGTATATATGACATAAGAAAAAATCCAATTAATTTTATTTTTAGCTTGTATTAGCTTTTGCATGTATTGGGACGTTATTTAACATTAAAATCTTGTAGGATGTATCGGACACAAATATCAAGGTGGGGTCAGGATGTGCTTTTATCAGTTAACATTTCAGGATAATCTTGATTAGAGAGACCATCTTGCGTCCTTAGGCTTGGGGCTGCACGCATCGCGTATTCTCGGGCAGATCGCATATGCCCTTAAGGCCATTGAAGTATTTGTCGCCGCAGCTCACCAACAGAGGTCTTCCATATCGACAGATGTAGTAGTCGGAGCAGCTCTTCAGCGAGGCCAGCATGAAGCCGTCGGGCTTGTTCCGGCACACGTATTTCGTGTATGTAGAAATGCTCAGTTCATGGGCTTGGGAAGTCGAAAGCTGATCTGTTTCCAATAAGGGACGTACTGCAGGACGCACAGGTCTCGCTGGGCGAACTTTCACAGAGGCGGGCTTAGCCTTTGTGGTCTCTGGCCCACAGGCTGTTGTGGTCTCTACGGCACACGCCGTCGTCGTAGTGCTAACTTCACTGCATGCTGTTGTTGTAGTTACACAAGATGTTGTCGTAGTGCTTTTTGTGGAGCAAGGTGTTGTAGTAGTGCTCTTTTCGGGACAGGGTGTTGTTGTAGTAATAGTTACACAGGGAGTCGTCGTTGTGCTTTCTGTGGAACAGGTTGTCGTAGTTGTGCTCTTTGTGGTACAAGGTGTTGTAGTTGTAGTACTTGAATCAGTTAAACAGGGAGTCGTCGTTGTGGTTTCTGTGGAACAGGCTGTCGTAGTAGTGCTCTTTGTGGTACAGGGTGTTGTGGTAGTGCTTTTTGTAGTAGTGGCTGTCGTTGTAGTAGCAGATTCAGTTACACAGGGTGTTGTAGAAGTAGTTGATTCAGTTACACAAGCTGTCGTCGTTGTGCTTTCGGTTGAACAGGGTGTCGTTGTTGTACTCTTTGTGGTACTGGCTGTTGATGTGGTAGCAGTTGATTCAGTTACACAGGGTGTTGTTGAAGTAGTTGAATCAGTTGCACAGGGTGTCGTCGTAGTGCTTTTTGTGGTACAGGGTGTTGTGGTAGTGCTTTTTGTGGTACTGGCCGTCGTTATGGTAGCAGTTGATTCAGTTACGCAGGGTGTTGTAGAAGTAGTTGAATCAGTTACACAGGTTGTCGTCGATGTGCTTTCGGTTGAACAGGGTGTCGTTGTGGTACTCTTTGTGGTACTGGCTGTTGATGTGGTAGCAGTTGATTCAGTTACACAGGGTGTTGTTGTAGTAGTTGAATCAGTTGCACAGGGTGTAGTCGTAGTGCTTTTTGTGGTACAGGGTGTTGTGGTAGTGCTTTTTGTGGTACTGGCCGTCGTTATGGTAGCAGTTGATTCAGTTACGCAGGGTGTTGTAGAAGTAGTTGAATCAGTTACACAGGTTGTCGTCGATGTGCTTTCGGTTGAACAGGGTGTCGTTGTGGTACTCTTTGTGGTACTGGCTGTTGATGTGGTAGCAGTTGATTCAGTTACACAGGGTGTTGTTGTAGTAGTTGAATCAGTTGCACAGGGTGTCGTCGTAGTGCTTTTTGTGGTACAAGGTGTTGTGGTAGTACTTTTTGTGGTACTGGCTGTCGTTGATTCAGTTGCACAGGGTGTTGTAGTAGTTATTGAATCAGTTACACAGGTTGTCGTCGTTGTGCTTTCGGTTGAACAGGGCGTCGTTGTAGTGCTTTTTGTGGTGCATGGAGTTGTAGTAGTAGTTGAATCCGTGGCACAGGGTGTTGTCGTGCTCTCGGTAGAGCAGGGTGTTGTTGTGGTGCTCTTTACGGTACAGGGTGTACTTGTGGTGGTTTCGGAAACACAGGGTGTTGTGGTGGTTTCGGAAACACAGGGTGTTGTGGTGGTTTCGGAAACACAGGGTGTTGTAGTTGTTGGGGCACACGCAGTTGTCGTTTCCTCAGCACAAGGCTCATTGACAAGAGAGCCTCCAGCAGGTGCCTCGCCTGTGGAAGAAGGCTGAGCCTGAATGCAGCCGGTGTTGTAGTTGACGCATCCCTGGACCTTGGCATCAAAAAATCGCGAGCAAGTGTTTACGAGGGCAACTCCCGACTGACACTCATAGTACTGGGAGCAAGTGCCGGGGACCAAGGCGCGGAATCCATCGGGCTTGTTAACGCACACATAACGCTGATAGAGTTGATTGTTGATCTGCACGCTGGCTGCATCCATGCTGGCCACCAAAACGGCGGCACAGGCAATTACTGAAAGATCAGGAGGGGTTATTTCTGGGTATTGCAATCCTCTTGACTTTATACCTATCGCAAATTTCATTATTGTCGGCAGCTATTCCTTTTCGGGGATCCTTTTCACTACCAAGCTTGAACAATAGTAGGTCGTGTACAGACCGATAGGCTTGACTGACTGTTTCGCAAGTGTGCTTGCTTTTATATGAAGCCATTTGTGAAAAAAGCTATGTCTTCCCCCTTATCTTTATTTCGATAAATTGATAGGGTAGATACTACTGCGTCTTCGGCGGTAACCGTGATTTTTGATGGTTACTCGAAAGGGATGCTAATTTAATGGCATCCGTTATCGCTTGGATACGGCCGTTCGTTGGAATACGGCCGCAAACGTTTTAATTTCTTTAATTGTGCTCACAAAGCGGAACTGGGAACAAGACGACACGATTTCCATTTCCTTTTTTGTCTAGATAATTGTTATAACCCATAACATGCAATTTTGAAGCAATAGATTTAAATTTGAAACTACCAGTAACGACGGAAAGGCATTGTCGACTTGTGCACCCTGTACATTTTCAACTGTTATTAATCAGAAAAATTTTAAGATTTGTGATTAATAGGTGCAAATAATATGAGCTGAAAAAAGATAAAAATAATTTGCGATGGCTCAGATGACCATTGTCAGACGATAAGGCCTTTTTGATTTACCACTTACAACTTTTACAATAGGTTTCTTTCGATTACAGGCGGAAATGAAGAATCAACAGACGTGTCGATCTAGCTATGTCAGCCTGTCCGTCCAAATGAATCTCAAGATTCACTTCAAGAAGTATAAGAGATAGAATGCTAACATTCAAAATATACATTCTTGCAATTTAGCGTTGAATATATCATATAGCTGCCATATGAAAGATCGTTAAATTTATATAAAATAAACGAAATAAAATTATAGCGTCGTTGCTTTTCATCAGAGAAGCATGTTTTTAGGAATACAAAGTTCTCTAACGACTTTTAAATTTCGAAATGAGTTTTATAAAAAAATCGTCATCAATTCGATGTTGTTTAGCCTTTATGTAATTTGTTCGACATTTTTTCTTGTTTGCAAATTAAACAATTTTTTGCCATTTATTGGTTAATCAGTCATAAACAAGTACATATGTATTAAAGAATGAATTTTTTATAACTAATTTTACATTATCCATAATGTGAATGAATCCGTAATAAGTTTTATTTTTTGTCCAAATTAAAAAAAAACTCAAAAACCAAAAAATACTTCATCTATCTAAAAATAGGGTTTATTTTATACAGCACCCCAAGACTGTGTGTATACAAAAAACCGGCATTGTCTTTTTTACTAACATTTGGTTAAATTAAATAGACTTAATTTATTTATTTTCTTTTGTGAACCACACAAGAGTGTAACATTGCATACTTAAGCTTACTCTAACATATTAAAATGTTTATAAAATCATTCTTAAAATATTTAAATATTCTCGCCAAAAACACTCAAACTTGTAATTTAACCTTACGCGAAAAAAACTTTTTCTCAAAACCACGTTTTTTATACCCTTGCAGAGCAAAGGGTATTATAATTTTGGCCAGAAGTTTGCAACGCAGTGAAGGAGACACCTCAGACCCCATAAAGTATATATATTCTTGATCAGCATCACGAGCAGAGTCGGAATACGTCTGTACGTCTGTCCGTCTGTCCGTCTGTCAGTTTCTGCCCAAACTAGTCTCTCAGTTTTGAAGCTATCTTGCTGAAACTTTCCCAAAAGTTGTGTAGTTATTGCACGCAGTATATAAGTCGGAACGAGCCGGATCGGCCGACTATATCGGATAGCTCCCATACGAGAGATTGAAAAAAAAAAATCTCACTCCGTTGTTTTTCATCAGATCGACTTGAATTCTTCAAGATGGCGTTTTCTAACTACTACTAAATTTCGGTTTAAATTTGATCAAAATCGGATAACTCTATCATATAGCTGCCATAGGAGAGATCGAAAAATATATATAGAATTAATGAAAATAAATTGATAACATCGTTGTTTTTTATCGTACGAGCATGATTTTTAGAATATCAAGTTTTTAAACAACTCTTATATTGAGAAAAAATTTCATAAAAATCGGACAACTATATCTTGTAGCTGCCATAGGAAAGATCGAAAAATCTATATAGAAATAACGGAAGTAAAATTATAACATCGTGGTTTTTCATCAGACAAGTATGATTTTTAAAATATAGAGTTTTCTTAAGACTCTTAAATTAAGAATTAAATTTGATCAAAATCGGACAACTATATCATATAGCTCCCATATGATCTGTAGTCGAAAATATGGAAAATGAATAGAAAAATCGTCATAGCTTCGATGTTGTTAGGCTTTATGCAATTTGTTCGACGTAATTGAGATCTGCAAGGGTATATCAGCTTCGGCTTGCCGAAGCTAGCTTCCTTTCTTGTTTGACCTTACGTTGACCTTAGTTGTTTATAATAAATGAAGTACAATCAGACAAAAATATTGAAAATTGTTTTTTTTTTTTAATAATAAGTGAAAATCGAGAAAATCGTCAATTTTTTTAAAAGCACTTAACTTTTGCAATTTGATCGAAATTTATTTTATACATTATACTGCACACATTAAGAATCTTTTTATGATTTAGATTACGCATTTTGGCTGAATCACTTCCGGTAGCGGGACACCTCCTCGCCGACATGCAGTCTCTGAGGAACGTCCCCTAATTATTTTTTTCAATTTCAAAATTTTTTTCTCAAAATAAATGTTTGTTCACATCCTTCTCAAAAAAAGTTTTACAAAAAGTACACTTTTTCGGGTCCACAAGGTGAGAACCCGCCTTAAACGGAATTAAATTCTGATGGAGTAAAGGGAATGCTGTACTTGAGAAAAAAAATGTAACAGAGAAGAATGAACTTACGAACCCATAAAATAAAAAAAAGGATCATCAGGTGGAACAATGTTCGCAGCCATGACTGGATGACTGTCCGTCAGTACGAAAGTCAAGATCTTAGAATCTGCTTAAAGGTGCTGAAATATTGGTATTGAACATTAGGGTTCATTTCACGCCCTTTTTTTCACAGTGTCATCGACAATGGTCTCTAGGGAATCCTATAGACGAGATTCGTGAAGTTTTTAAATAAACCTTTAAGTTTATACATTGATTTGAATTTGTCATATGTTTTTTTTTTGAATGAAAAACAAAAAAAATCATGTTACAATAATTTATATTGAATTTGTTGCTTGTTTAAAAGTTCCACCTTTTGAGAAGGTATTGCAAAAAAATAAAGTTTATTGCCTTTTCTAGGAAAGATATAAAAGATTTCTGGGAAAAACTTTTTTGACCCTTGAGAAACTCACAATGTACAGATCCTAATTCCGCTTGAATTCCTAAAACTATATTTTTTTTTATGAAAAAAAAGTTCAATATCAGCTCAAGCAAATCACAATCATTTCAAAATAAAATTGAGCATTTTACTTTCTTGAATTTGATGTAGAATTGTAAACGAACATATGTCTAAAACGTGTCCTTTGTATTACCTCTATTGCTTGCAATCTTTCGTCAATGTACGTTCTTAGCTATTTTGTTTGTGACATACTAGAGGATATTCTCAGGGTTTAACAACCCGTTTAAGCCAGCAACCATTTAAAAGTGCCTAAAAAATATAAAAAACGGGAAAACGCTGAGGCAATTTGCGTTTGCGACCTCAGCGCTGATTATGACGACGACCAGGGCACATTAATGCTGATGAGATGTTGCCGCTAAGTAGCATTCCCAGAACCCATTTCATTCTCATTTGCAGTCCCATGCCAGTTTCCCAGCTCATCAGGTAAGCCAGTACCCCGACTCGGGAGGATGTGGAAATTGGTGACCCCGCCAAACAAAAAGAATCTTAGCGGTTGCTAGGCCAGCCTCACATTCTCTTGCCATCCCCCACCCAGCTGTCTTTCCCTCTTGACTTTGCAATTAAATATGCACATTCTCATTAAAAGTTTGCGCCATTAATAAACGCCAACAGGGATGTAATTTAATACGGTTAAAAAGCACAACACGTGTAGGCTAAGAGGAGCCGAGAGCGAGTCCTGAGGTGGATGGAAATTCGGTGGGTGGCGGTGTGGGCTTGGGTGGCGCCCACACTGCATTACATTAAACATGCAGACATGTGAGAGCCATCCCGACCCCGACCCCGCCAACGCTCGCTCCACCTCGCAGGGAACAAAGCTCATAAAATTTGCAAATGTAAATAATTTTCATAACGAAATTTCCACGTTTCTGCAGTCTGTCTGTTTCCGGGCGAGAGTCCTTGTGTCCTGGTCCACATTAAAGCTCGTCAGGCGCTGGCTGCAAATTTGTCAACTGACAGAACAAGACACGACACATATGGCCAGCTCCAAAGCTCCAAAGCTGGCTTCCCCCGCCTGACATAAATAATAAATAATTGAAAATGTCTCACGGGAATCCCGTTCCATTGCCTTCGTGTGAACTTTGCCAGCCAACTACTAAGCAACGCGCACCCTACAAAATAAGGGTCCATTTAGTTAGAGGCTAATGTGGTAATCACGATCCGAATTTCTGCATTTTTTGGGAATCCAAGGCGTCTCTGGAAAAACCTGTTAACAACATCAATTCAGATACGAAAATGTACAGGTCATTACGGGAATTGGATCCGATAAGATAAGGTTACAGTTCTTTGACTCACGTAAACAATTAGCTAAAATACGAATCTGGTTGACTGAAACGAGTTGCTAGTTACATTCGACTTACACTACCAACTCTGGAAGGGCCTTCCGTCTTCAATATATTCCGTGAACCTCTATCTTTTTCGCTCCGAAAAACAGTTTCCTTGCGGCAACCCGAAGCCGAAGCCAAGCACATTAATTGCAAGCAACTAGGCGCTGTGACGGCAAATTGTTGACAGCTTGCTTTCTTGGCCCGGCTTAGTGTGTACTCTCTTATTGCCCCGCTTTCTGGAGCCAATTCCGAGGGGAAATTAAAGTAAAAGTTTATGATTTTCAGCCCTACGCACTTTGGCCACTCCCACGGTCTGGCTGGCCCCCATTCGCCCACATGTGGGGCGAAATTGCGGCTCATTATGTATTTATGTCAATTTCTGACTCTCCACTATGGCTGCGTGTGCTGGGCCGCAG